TACTTTAAAACATATAAATAAGTTACCCGGGCAATTGATTTACATCAGCCAATCAGACGAACTTCTTCCTATGACATTTTACCGTTACAGTTATGTTTATTTACGGGCTTTGCACTCCGAGTTCCGACCTTCTATAAAAATTTCAATATTTGCATGCTTAGAGTGCATCTCCACAAAAAAACAAACGTTCTCAGCAATGGATCAACACATTTTAGAGGAAGAAATTGTTATATCAGAGTTATTCGATGATGAGGATGAGGTAGATTATGAGCCAGACGAAGACACTTACAGTCAAAAACCAAACACTGCTCAAAAACTTTCAGGTGCTGTTGAGGAAAAAGAAACAAATGAAATAGAAATTCCCAATGGAAATTCCAACCGACACCGTCCACGTAGCAAGACTGAAGGCAATTATTCGGACACTCAATGTACATCAAATGGTAAATCAATTGGTAAAGATGAAAAATCTGACATTAATGACTCTATTAAAGATGTCAAACATAGTGGCGTAACCCACCAGGTAGGCATAGGGCCACTTTTCCCTATCTTCACCACCATGTTGTCGAATGGCACTTTTTGATTTGCGGCTTTGCTGGAGTTTTTTGTTTTTAAATTCGCAAATTGAACATGGACATTCATTGTTTTATGGAATTTGCTTTTGTTTTCGATTTTGTCTATTTGGACATTTTGGCTATTGGATGCCGGATCGAGGACACTAATGAACATTTGAGCGAACAATGTGAACAATTGATTGGATGAGTCATTATTAATAATCATTATTCAGTTGATAATGTGTTCAGATGAAAAAACATTAATGGGTATATTAAAAAACACTAATGGGTATATGAAAAAACATTAAGGGTATATGAAGAAAATAGTCAGCAATGGAGATATGTCACATAATATCAGCTTTTATTTCCACGCAATATTGTTCCCAAAAATTCCTGACTTTTTTCACAACCAAAGGATACACGGAAATTAAGCATCAAATCATCCGCCTATACTATGATGAGACCTTCAGCATCCAATGGCAGACCAAAGAAAATTGATTGGAGTAATCGTGAATTTCACCATAGAAGGTTGACGTCTACCTCTTCCAACGGGTATGCCGTTAATCATCATTATAAAATACAAAAATCACGCTCTGGTAAATTGAACGAAAGGGACTCGAGCATAAGTCGATATTACATTAGCCACAGTCGTCGTATGGAAACTGTGGGTAGTAAGGTTGACAAAAAAATCAAAGGACATTCGCATCGGGATGACACGCCACGCGAACGAAATTTTGACACTTCTACCCATACTTCTGATTATCATCACACTCCAAAACCAATAACCGATAATTACGATAAAGGTGATTATAGATAAAATAATTTCATACATTTATAGTTATGTGATGACTAACGAGTACATATTCATCTTTTAGAACCTCGTTCAAAACGTCAGAGTGATATGTCGTATTGTACAGGTGAATCACGAAATGGTATGTAAGGATTAGTCCAATATAAGATAAAGTTAATCTTCTCTAATTACTGTTGATTCATATGCGCGATTAGAAACGGTGAAAAACTCTTCAGATATAACTCGATATTTTATTATGAAGAGTCACAACCACGAAAATGTCCAGAAATCACAAATAGACGTATGTCTCTATTCTTCCTCTTGAAGATTATATACATATTTCTAAAATTTATTTGACTTTTAGGGTGTCTGGGCCACACAGCCTATTAACGCTAGTGTATTAAGTGATGCCTTTAGGGTACTTTATCAATTTTATTAGTTCTGTCAACTTTACTGTTTTTTTAATCGCCTTTTTAAATAAATAATATAATTATCTTTCTGTTAGAACTCTAAAAGAGTTATTTTGATTTTTTCTGTGAATAATAGCCGACATTTTCAAGGTAACATAAGAAAAGCTTGTTTGATTTGTTTTTTATTAAAATTTTATATTTATTGTAACGTTTCAATAACAATTTTAGGATTCTGCTTAATGGAGTCTGATGTAGGTACTATAAAACATGCATCATGGACAGATATTAGCGGATCTTCTCTCGGTGGAAACTTTAGTGTCAGATGGCTAAAAATGTATTTATTATTTAATACAATTATTTTCGTCTAAGAATACAATATAGAATGTTACTTATTAGAATCTATTGTGTTGATAGCGGTAATTTGTCATTCGAACGAACCCACAATATTCGCAATCCCTGGAATGAGAATAAACCTGTAAAAATTAGTCGTGATGGACAGGTAAAGTCACTAATATCTGGCTTAAAGTTTAAACACTTTAGGCCATAATTAATCTCGATATAATGACATCTTAAAAATCATTATCTGATTATTGGTGTGCATATAATTAATTTATAGGAGCTTCCCGAAAGTATTGGCGATGAATTATGTAGCCTTTTTGATTATACTTCAGCCAAAGTAGATTCCGTCTCGGATGTAAATATTGACAAAAATAAATCATATAAGGAGTCTTCAAGACGTTTGGAATCCGGAAGTGGTAATTATCCCTTTGACGTTAATAAAATTTGTTAGTGTTGTATTGATTCATTTTATTGACATACATTTATTAGGCGGCATAGATAGGTATAGACCATATAGTACCCCTAGTACGTCACGTACAGATAGGTTAATATTAATCCCATAATGACAGAAGTTATTAAATATAATGTATTATGCTAATCGCCTTCCCTTTTTTTTTCTTTTTAAGTAGATTACGTGAGCGTAGTCAACTTGATTCATTAGAATTTAACAGAATGCGACTGGTAAATTTCTTTTTCCACAACACTTTTAAAATCGTTTATCATATTTAATTACTAATATATTTTTCTTACATTAGAACCGAAACATGCAACTTGGAGAGCACGATCGTTTTATGTCTCACTCGGGACATTTTGATTCACCATACGAACCTGTTCCGCACTTCTATGTAAGTATAGATTTTATTATTGGTAATTCAATTATAAGTATTACATAGATAAAGATATATATTTTTCTGAAATCTCAGCGACCATCTGATGCCTGGCAGGTAAGAATATTGTCCTATATTTATTTGTCTTGATGATTATATATATTTGCTAAAATGTGAATCTATGAACCAATTAATAGCGCCCATTAGGATCTCAATCTTACGCCCATAGGAATCATACAAATTATTATGGCAGGTCGTCAGGTTTTGATAGAGAATTTCGTTAAGGCCAATGTAAAAGTTCTGATAATATATTATTTGATATTTTTATTTTTATTTTTTGAACAATGTACTCCATTTATTTTTAATGTTTGAGATTTTGACAAAACTTTATGTATAAACAGTTCTGATATTTTATATTGATGCCTTGTTAATTTATATATTCGTTTTCAATTTGTAAAAGCTAATGGACTAATCATTTCTTTCTACCGTAAATTCTCGAAATAACGCCGGGAGTGAAATTACGAAATTTGACCTAAATTAAGCTTAATTCGGGCCAAAACGCCCATGCTATTTTGAGAATTTACGATATTATAAAATATAGCAAGACAAAACATTCAACAAAAAGTGAAAATTCGAAAAATAGGTTTTTTTTGCATATGCTTTTTGATTATAATTTACAGATTTTGTTTAGTTATAGTTTGCTTTTATTACGTGTGGTTGGATAAAAAGTTTGCTGTGAAGTAATTATCTTAGTTTTAAATGTACAATTTTGAATCTATATATATAAATATAGGTAATTTTTATTTGTGCACAATATAGTGTATGAAACACAGGTATGTTCAGTTAGGGATGTTAAAGTGCCTGTCCGAACTGACTCGACTCCAGAAGTCGAGTCAGTATCAGACTCAAACTTGAGTTTTTTAATCATGTAAAGTTGTACAAATCAAGATAGATAACAATAAAACTAAACCTAATTGTTGCATATATTGACATCGATATTCATATTGCTCTCAATTTGGTAAATATCATATGATATTACTGAAGTCGACTTAGAGTCGGCTTTAAACGACTCGACTCTAACTGACTCGAAAACCGACTAAACCGAGCTGTTTAACATCCCTATGTTCAGTTATAGTGTTACAAATCGCAAAATTTTTTCAATCGATTATATAGTTGGTTAATTATTTTTTCAGTTGGTCGATTAATCGACGAGTTGCAACTAATCGATTAATCGATGAGTTGCAACTCATTCGATTAATCGATTAATCGATTAGTTGCAACTAATCGACTAAAGAATTATTGCGGTTTGCAAAATTCTGTAAATTTTGCAAATCATAAAAAAAAAAAATAATCGATTATGATTAATTATTATTGATTATTATTAACGATTAGTGATTTCCGATTTCTATATATTTTTTTAAACTTTAGATTAAACTTTAATATTATGTAAATTTTTATAAAAGACGTAATTTTTTTTTTCCTTTATTGGCAGCCTCACCAATATCTTTATTAGATCAAAGCTAATTAATGTAAAGTTACATTATAAACTATCTAAGTTATAGATCCAACATCACTCGGCTTCCTCTATGGGCGTCCAAGTGTGGTCTGCTTCACCGGTTAAGGCTATTGCCTGTACCGGAGGGCTGCACCAAGCTAGTTGGTGAAACCATAGCAAGATGATTTCGATTTAAAGAGATTTTTAACTAAACTAAATTGGCAATTTTTTCCTTTTAACCTATCCTCCATTTTATCACAAACTAAACCTAATTTTCTATTAATAAACAATTCTATCTTCTTTCTCAATAAGGAGTTATTGCCAGAAATCTCTTGTTTATATTTGCGTTTTCTTTTCCTCTTCTTCTAATTAAATCTGTCTTTTCCGATTAAAGACCTATTTCTTAGGACCTTATATTTCATAGCTTCATGGTCTTTTCCTGTTGTTTGGGAGTTTTTCCTGTGATCTTTCTTTGTTGATACTCTTCTGTAAGCTTTCTTTTCTTCAAAAAATCTTGGGCTTTCTTTTGGTCTTTCTATTCCATAGTCTTGTATAGTCCACTCAGATTTATTTTTTTCTATGTTCTAAGTATAAAGGTTTTCTCCTTTCTTTTTCTTTACCTTCTTTTTTTCCTTTTTCTTCCTAGGCTTTGGTTTTCTTCTCAAAAATTTTTCTTGAATTTCAACAAAGATTTTCTGATTTTTGAGGATTTTTACAAAGATCTTTTCTAGTATTTTTAATAATATATTTTTTTTCTTCTTTTTCTAATTTTTGGTACCTTTTCATCTATAAGCTGTTGTATCATGAATCGAATTCAAATCCATGCTTCTTTGTCTTTCAGGCATCTTAGATTCCAATAAGATTTTACACTATATATCCACTTTGTAACCAACTCTTTTTTTTTCTTTTTCCATGTTCTGTTATTATATTGTAAGTTCTTAATACTAACAATATATTACTTCTATTAACCATTCTGCCAGAGTTGTTAGTACAATTTTTGGTTTTGTTTCTTCTTGAATCTTGTTTCGCGTTTTTGTTTCTATAAGATTTAAAATGTTTTGTCTTTTGCTTCTTTTTTTTTTTTCTCTGATTTTCCTTTTTTCCTTTTCTCGTCTAAATGGCATAGATTCAACAGATATTTTAAACTATAATATTAGAGTTTTTAGTACTTTTTGGTTCTGCTGCCTTTGTCGAGTTTTCCTTTGTTCTTAAAGTCTTTTACTTTAATCTAGATCTAACTTCGACTTTATTTCAGCAGCTTGCTTTTTCTTTTGTTGAACTTGCATCTTCTCTCTTTCTTTTTTCGCTTTTCTTTTAATTTCTTGTTGATTTGCTGTGGTAATCTTGACAGATTCTTTGAATTGTTGTATTATAGACTTCAGAGTTGTTTTATTGTGCTGCTTTTCCTTTGTTCTTGAAGTTTTTTCCTCGACCTTATTCCAGCATCTTGTTTTTCCCTATCTTCTAGTAATCTTCTTAATTTGTTGTCTAACCTTAATTCTACTATAATACTGGCTATCTCTTTTTTTATAATTTTAACAACTAGATCTTCTTCTTTTTGTATTGCTTCATGAAAATATTCATGATCTCTTTCTATAAGTACAAGTTCAGTATACTCTAATTCTTCTCTATTATATCTTTGAAATTTTTCGAAAAGGTTTTCTATTTGTGCTTCAGCTACTTCTTTTGAGAGAAGTTGTTGTCCAGTATATTCCCACAGGTCGAAAACTAAAAAATCAGTAAATTTACTGATTTTTTAGTTTTCGACCTGTATCTATTATTGTCTGTTCTACTTTCATATTTATCATTTTATCCAGTTATTGCTGTTGTTATATCCTGGATAGCTTCTAATAGCTCTTTTTTTGTAACAGGTCTTTTTCCAGCAACTCGAACTAACTTCTGCTTCATGTGACTTGTTGTTTTTTGGT